AAAAAAAAAAAAAAGGGAGAATGTGACATGTGGAAAGTGATTAGAAAACTTAAAATGAGTTCTGTTTTTACCAGAAACATCCTCCCAATTTAACCATTCTCTACCCCTTGGACTCAAGAGGAGACACATACGCATGTGCGTGTACACGCACACACACATACACACACACACACACACACACACACAGGATACCAGACCAGGAAAGACCTTTTTCTTGGGGTAGTGAGGTACCGGAGACTAAACTCGGGCACTTGACTACTGAACGACATCCCCAGCCCTATTTTTGTATTTTATTTAGAGGCAAAGCCTCACAGAGTTGCTTAGAGCCTTGCTTTTGCTGAGGCTGGCTCTGAACTTGTGACCCTCCTGCCTCAGCCTCTCGAGCCACTGAGATTACAGTGCACCGGCAGCCGGCTAGGAAAGGCCTTTTAGTGCACATGGCAACACATGTTGGAGCCAAAACATTGCCCCAAGATTTGAACTCTGGGCCAGTGAAGAGTACTCAGTGACTATGTATACCTGAGCCCAAAGGAGTGGACTCTCACTTAGAATGCTTAAAAAGACATTTAAATGGTATCTGGACTCCTAGGAGAATCTTAAGCTGCATGGAAGATACATTTCCTCTCTCTGGTGGGCCAAGAGTACATCCCATCCAAGGAACTTTAGGATCCAGAACCCAGGATTCCAGGTAAACCAGAGAGAATTCCACCAGGACCACTCCACTGCTCCTTCCTTTCTTTTCTCCTTAAATGTCCTTGGGGCTATTTGCAAGTAATGCTAGAGCCCTGTTGGGAAGTAGATTGAGATGAAAGGCAACCTGGCCCCAGGGAAAGCAGTCAGTCCAGATGGGATATGTTTGCATTCAAAGACAAGAGAGGTCTGGGTCACCCAAGACAGAATATGCAGTCTTCACACAAGCTACTACTGGCTAGCCTGAGCAGTGGTCATTCCCCATGCTTCTCAGGAACCAAATGCTCCCAGTCACGAGGTCAGTCTTCCTCCTAAGGTATACCTACCTTTTGGGGTTAATGGTGCCTTTTGAAGAGTAGCACAAATACATCTTCTGTCTCTGTTCCTTCCCTGATAGAAGTTTTGGCACATAGACACAAGAGGGACCAGGACATAGAAATCCTGGTATGTCCAGTGGTAGTGCCACTAAATGGGATACATGCCTTTTGCTAATCTTCATCTTTCTTCTGAACCCTTTGCTAGGAGAAACATCAGTAACCCAGGCAGTGTGTCAGCAGGGCAGCCTGGATTCCCATAGAAAATGTCTTTATTGCTTTCAAGCACAGCTTAACTTCGCTTCTCCAAATAGCAGGGATGTGAACACATTAATCACCAAAGACTATAAGGACTGCAAATAACTCCTGAGAGGCTCAGTAGATCAGTCATCAGTGTCTTTGGCTATTGAGTCTCTTTTTCCTGAGGCCATCAGGCATGCCAATAGTTTGAAATGCAACTTTGGTCAATATAGTTAGATGCTCTTGGTAATTTGGTGAGAACCTATCTCAAAATTAAAAAAAAAATGAAAAGGGCTGGAGATGCAGCTCAGTGGTAAAGTTCCCCTGGGTTAAATTCCCAATGAAAGAAAGAAAGGAAGGGAGAGAAAAAGAAAAAAATGTGTCTGGCACCTTCTTCAGATACAACAAACTAAAGGGGGTGAAACTGTTTCACTGAAACTTAGAAAAAGTTAACACCGAACAGGGAATTAGGCAGTGAACTTTCCCTCCAAGAAGTGGGGAAGTCAACCCTTGGACAGGAAGCCACACAGATGCAATATCCTTGCCTCCCTTTGTTGAGTGCTTGTACTGAAATTCCACATGTGATTCTCAGGCTAAGAGGAAAGAATTCAGTTCTGGAATCTCACTTAACACTGACCTTGGGTTCCCAGCTCGGGATCTATGTGATAGTTTAGATCTTGAATGTCTCCTAAAGAGCTCATGTTTTGAAAGGACAGTCCCCAATACAGCAAGATTCAGAGGTAGTAGGGTGTTTAGGTAATCATTAGGGCTATAACCTCATAAATGGATTAATCAATTTGATGTATTAATAATTTGAATAGACTACAGGGTGGTAACAGCAGGCAAATGGAGCTTAGCTGGAAGAAGCAGATCACTGAGGGCATGCCCTTGAGTACTATATCTTGTCCCTATCACCTGTCTCTCACCTGACCCCTGCTTCCTGTCTGCCACGAAACAAGCAGCTTTCCTCTCTCATGGCCTTCCGCCATGATATTCTGCCTCATCTCAGACCAAAGGAATGGAGCTGGCCAATCACGGACTGAGACCTCTGAAACCATGAGCCAAAATAAACTTTTTCCTCTTCTAAGTTGTTCTTGTCTTATATTTTGATCACAGCTATGGGAAACTGACTAACACAACCTAGCTTCTAGGCAGGATCCCAACATAATCTTTGTACTGAACTCAGCCACAGGATGGTCCAACAGGTGGACAAAGCGGTCTTTTGTCATACACACATACTTGTATATATCCTCATTATTCTTGGATTCCATATTCATGAATTTGCTCACACACTAAAATTTATTGATAACCCAAATCAATATTCATGATGCTTTCACAGTCATTCATGTACACATACTAAATAGTGAAAAATCTGGCACATGTTCCCAGCTGAGGTGGAACAAGTTGACACTCTGCCTTCCTAGTTCTAGGGGAGCCTAATCCTTTTCAAGGTCTATTCAGTGTCACACCTTTTGCACTTTTGTGCTTCTCCTTGGTGATTTCACTGTTTAAAATGTCCCTCAAGCGTACTGCTAAAGTAATGTTTGGTGTTCCAAAGTACAAGGAGGCAATGATATTCCAGGCATGGGGCCACATATCTGTAACCCCAGTTACTGATGAGGCTGAGGCAGGAGGAACCCAGGCTCAAGGCTGCCTTCTGCCACTTTGTGAGATTCTGTCTTAAAATTTTAAAAGGGCTGGGATGAAGTACAGAGGTAGATCACTTGCCTAGTATGTGTGAGGCTCTGTATCCAAACCTCTTTATCAAAAAGAAAAGAAGGAGGAGGAGGAGGAGAAAAAGAAAGAAAAGGAGGAGGAGATGATGTCTTCTAAGTTGTTCTTGTCACATATATTTCTCTTACAGAGAAAATAGGTGTGTTAGAGAAGCTTGCTTCAGGCTTGAGTTATAGTGGTGTTGGTCACAAGTTCAGTGGTAATGAATATATATAATGAATTCATTATATACATATAATGAATCTTTCTGTGTATATATATATATATATACATATATATATATATATATACAAAATAATGAATCTTTGAACAGAAACACATAAAACAACGTTATGCATTGACTAGCGGACAAAAATGTTGTGACCAGTAACTTGCAGGAACCTGACTAACCCTGTGCTTCCCTTAGGAGCAATCGTTCAATGTTTGGTAACTCGGTGTTCAAGATATACTTACAGAACATCACTGGGAAGAATGAAAAGACTGTAATCCCTCAAATTCAAACCTTGTTTGTCATGAGACACAACTTTGGACACTACCTAAGGAAAACCATATGGTCTAAGATTTTAATTGACCAAACTGTCACTTTTTGTGGCATCTCTGCCGCCCCTCTTTCCTACCCAAGTCTGCCACTTTGATGCAAATTGAAACCCCCTGGAAAGGAAGGCCTGTGAAGAAAATGCACACATAGAACCAAACCACAGCCCACGCATTCTGGGGACCATATGTCTTAGGAGAACTGCTTCCCCCACCCACTTAAACACTTGAAAGCTACAGCTCATCTGTTCTATAGCATTGCTATGAACAGGGAGAAGAAATCCATACACCCTCCCTATTCCAAACTGGAAAGGAGAGTAACCCTTGGCTAAGACTTTAATTGAGCTTTCATGTAGCAATTGCAAAGCTTTTTAGAGTCAGTCTTTGCCGAGCCGAGGGAATAGTTATTAAGAAGTAGAGCTCTTTCTTACTCCCAGCAGACCCAGGTGCACAACGCAAGAAGATTGAGACAAAAGAAAGGAGCCAGCGATGTTCCACGTCAAAGTGTGAAGTTCAACTCCACTGAGGAAATGTGGTCTTGAAAATCATGGGGTGCGAAGGAAAATGTTATTCTGTCTCCTTGAGGGTTGCAACTCTCTCTGACAGTTACCTTTGGAGAAAGAAAGAGGGTAAAGGGAGAAAGGGAGTGGGCAGTCACGTGACTCTCTGCCAGATTCAATACCACTGGAAACTGTGAAGAATGGAGAGGCTTTCGAGCAAAATATGTAGATGTAGCCGAGACCTGGAAGAAAGAGTTAATCCTGGGCTGCCCTCTGGGCCCTAGACTGTGAAGAGCTACCTCCCATTCCCCCAAGACATTCTCAGACACAGACAGAGCCTCTCAGCACCAGGGAAAGCAGGGTTGGGAGGTGAGACAAATCCCTGGAGTGGGGAGCTCTGAGATGAGAATTAAAGAGAAATTGGTGATCGCTTTAAGGCAAGAACAAGGTAAATATTTGTATCATCTCCTCCTTTCAACCAGCAGCAGACACCGGCCTTACTGTCCTTGGGACTAAAGGTAAGGGAAGTCAGCACAATAAGAGAAGGGGGAAATGTTACCAAATTAGAAATGAAGAATCCAGTGTCTTTATTTGTAGATAATATTATCATCTATACGGGGGAAAAAACTAGGAAAAAAAAAACAAATAGAAATATTAAGAATATAGCGAGGTGATTGGCTACAAGATCCAGAAGCAAAAATCAATAAAGAACTTGACAAGTTTGAGACAATCAGGCACCTCTCCCTCCTCCCCTCATAGAAGAATGTCTCTCTGGTTGCAGCACCAGCTGGAACCACCATTATCCTTTGGACCTATGAGATCCAGCTCTCCAAGTGGGCTCTACCACTGTATCCCCCCAGTTTATTCTACTCTCTTTCTCCCACTCCAATCTGCATCTTTGCTGTCTCAGCAAACCAATTCCACACAAATTAGGATCCTTGGTGCCTTGATTCTCTCTCCATGTGCCAGTCAGGGTCTTCGTAAGAAATGAATTCAACTCAGCTAGTTCAAATGAGCAAACTTGAACAAAGGTACTATTTATAGCTGTGCCTGTGGGGCTAAGGGGACCAATAAGAAGTGATCTGGCTCCTAGAAGCCAGCAGAAGACAGCAGCATTACCGTCCTTGGGACTGAGGGTAAGGGAAGCAAAGGAATGCAGGAGACCAGTGAAAGCTGGTCTTTTGGTTAACCTTTCTGCTTCTGTGACTAAAGGGTCTGGCCAGAACAACTGTAAGGAGGAAAAGGCTATTTGAAGTCTACAGTTTCAAAGATCTTAGTCCATAGAAGGCCGGCTCCATTCCTTAGGGTTTGAGGTGAGTCTGAACATCATGGCAGGAAGGGGTGGCAGAGGGAAGCAGCTCACATCACAGTGATCAAGAAGCAGAGAGAGAAACTCCACTCTCCAGATACAAAATATATACACTGAAGCCACGCCCCAGTTCCCACCTCTTCCAGCCGCACCCTACCACTTCAATTAACCCCATCAGGGATTAGTTCACTTATTGTGTTAAGACTCTTACAGCCCAATCATTTCTCCTCTGAACCTTCTTGCATTGTCTCACACATGAGCTTTGGGGGGACACCTCCCATCCAAACCGTAACAGCTGGAGAGCCAAGAGGCCATTTCCAAAGGGATGGAGCCATATCAAAGCAGCCACTAGAGGCTAGTCCTCTCCTTCTGTCTGCCTTCTAGTCCAGGGACCTCTCATTGGCCAAACCCAACCAGAATCCAGGTGGCAGGGGAGCCTAAATAGTACCATATATAGGGTCACCCTCTGGGGTAGAGACGGGCAGAGTATGCACCTGGGTGAAGAGACAGAACAGTAGCCGATATTTTGGGGCAGGTCCTTCATTTCTCTTGCAACCACCATAGCTTTGGCTCTAGCAAGCCCAGACTCCAGCTCTCCTGGCCTCCTGTCAGGGAAGTTTCCCTTAAGACCTGCATGAAGTGTCCCCCTGGCGACATGGTTCCCACAGTGCCAATTGCTATTCTCACTACTCAGGTATCAGGGAGACCATGACTCTGTCTTCTTCCTATTCCTAGGAGTGAATGAGGATCCCCGGCACTTCTCCATGTCAGGGAGTCACTGGGAACCTCCAGAGAGAGGAAGGGAGGGAATGTCTCCTCCCAGGGAGTTCCAGTAGAGACAGGCAGGTAGAATGGAAGTAAAACGGAAGAACATAGGAATGAAGAGCTTAAAGCAGGACCATTGTTCTATCGGTAGGGATAGTGGAGGGAGATGGTTTCTCTTCTCCTTCCAGGGGTGCACAGCAAGGAGCAGAAGGGCTCAGGCAACCTTGACAGGGAGGGCCACAGCCACAACCAGGTAACAAGTCCCTTCCCTGGCTTGCCTTTCATTCTGTGCAGAACAGGACAGATTCCTGACTGCCACCAGGACTCACAATTATCCACCCTTAATATGTGCTTCTGTACTTGCTTCTCATGTTCTTAGTTCCTTCCTCTTCTTTTTTTTTTCAAGTTTATTTATGTCATCCTCATCACTTCTTGTTGTCACCTACTCCCAAATTCATGGCTGTTGCCAATTTCATGACTTAAAAATAGAGTTGCCATAACAACTCTCTTCAAAACTCACCAGCTGGATGCATTATTTAGCAGTTGGCATGTCCCTCCTTGGAAAGACACCTTGGTTAAAGACGGGATGGTTTTCTATTTTATATTAACACTGACACTCAGGTTCCAGAACCAACATACTCACCATGTCAGGCATATACATTAGCTCATACAACCCTCTCAACAACTCTCTGAGGTCTGAGTCGCTCTTAGCCTCATTTTATAGTTGAGGAAACTAAGGCTCAGAGAAGTTGAGTGACTTGCTCCAGGTCATACTGCTACGAATGTACTCACATGTGGAAGTGTACCTACACAGAAGTGCAGAGTGGAATGGTGGTTACTTGAGCCAGGGAGAAGGGAGAAATGAGGTGCTATATATGTATATAAGATAAATAAGTACAGCAAGATGTGCAGCAAGATGACTATAGTTAATAATATCGTAGGATACCAAAAATTTTTCTTGAAAAGTAGATTTCCAATGCTCATACTACACAGACACATACACATGCTATACCTTATGTTAACCATGTGGGAGAGGCGATGTTAATTTGCCTGACTGTAATAATCACTTCACTGTGTATGTCAAAACATCATGTACATCTTAAATACACACAATTTTTAAAAACCAAAATGGGACATGAGTCTAAAACAAATACACTTGCCCCATATATTTATGTTTTCTTACGTAAATCATTTCAAAGATCCTGAAGTGAAAAAAGAAACATTATAGAGATCAGAATGCCAACCTCCAGGAGATTCTGCTCTTAAACATCCACCCTTCTTCCTGCCACGGGAGACCTGGGTCTGGTCCAAATTATAATTCTGCTCTGGCGTCATGGTTCCCACAAGGTCATGGCTGGTTGAAGCTGATTCCCCTCTGCCTCTCTTCTTTCTTGAGGACTTGGGCTGTTAACTGGAACATCTTCCTTAGGTTCAAACAAAAGGCTGCTTCACTGCTATCATCAAATCAAAATCTGACCTGAAACAGGACTCAAATGTAAGTGGTCATTATTAAATAATGAATTCCTTAATGAATTAGAAAAGAAATAAGGAGAAACCCGTAAGAAAGAGGAGGAAGCAGGATGCAGAAGAGGAAGAAGTCATGCAAGGAACGCATTTCAGATGGATCCCTAGCCTCAGTCTGCTCTTATGGGGAGATCTGGAACATAAACCATGCGTCAGACCGTCTCACCTTGGGCATCTGAGCTTCGGCACTCCCACACCTGTCCTGGGCTAGGAAGGGAGGAATTGGTGGGAATAACATGAAACCCCCAGGCCCTCTGGCTTCTGTTAGACAAGGCAGCTCCAACCACCCAAGACAACCTTCCAAAAGGCACAGATGACAGCATTAGCAGCAAAGTACTCAAAACTGGGGGATACACAGAGAGAAGTAGTAAAGGGGTTCCCAGGAGGCTCAAGTAGCACAATGGTGTCCACAACTGCTAAGATCCAATACGTGTCCCCAAATTCATATGTTGTTACTTAACTACCAATGCAAAAGTGGTAAGTGGTCGGGCCTTTAGGAAGTGATCACTTAATTCTACCTTCATGGATGGGGTTAGAGCCTTTAAAAAAGGGCTTGAGGAAGTAGGCTTGTTCCCTTCTGCTTTTTCACCAGGTAAGGACAGTGTTCAACCCTTTCAGTTCATCTGCTCTTCCACCAGGCGGATGTGCAGTGTTCAGGGCACTATCTTGGAAGCAGATACTGAACCTGCTAGCAGCTTGATCTTGAACTTCCCGGCCTCCGGAACAGTGAGAAATAAATCCCTATTTTTTGTGGTATTTTGTGATAGCAGCACAAACAGACTAAGACAATGACACCTACCAACCTCTCTCCCAGAACCAAGAGTCAACACTTTTCTGCTTCAGAGAAATAGTCACCTCCACCCTCCAGATACTCTCTGTCCTTCCACGTAGTAGAAGCTCTGGTAAGAGCTTTGTTCAACTTTTCTCAGTTAGTCTCTCTCTCTGTCCTGCAAAATTTCTGTGATCCTAGAGTTAGGTACAAAAGCAATGTGGGACAGACGCATTTTTCTCTCCTCTTATTGTAGTCATTTTTCTGGCTTCCCCTCCAGTTCTGTAGAGCTCTGCCCTTCCTCCTTGCCTTATGTTCCAGAAAAAAAAAATTGAATGAATGAATAGCCAGGAGCAGCCTCCTAGATGGGGCTGTGGCAGGCACTGGGCCCCCTGAGGCAGGGCCTTTTCAAGCTCAGCTCAACCACCGGCCATTGTGTCTTTGTTTCCTCCTTCCAGCCTGCTAGATGCCAGGAACAGAAGAAAGAACTTTTGTTTCCTCCAAGGGATGAGGAGGGGTGAAGGGAGTGGGGGTCATTCTGGGCAAGGTAAACTGAGACAGAAATGAGGCAGGGCCCCAACTGCTCCCTCTTCCTCCCACTGCCTGTAGCATGGTTTTCTACACTACAAAATCAAAAAAAGCACGCCTGTTAACTCTTAACAAGCCATTTCCTGCATTATCGTGGGAAGTTTAGGGTCTCTAATCCATCCTGCCTCTTTACACACACAGCTGTGAATGGGTACAGAGTAGACAAATGACCAAATGCTCCTGTATTGTTTACTCCCTTAAAGCTAAGTCCATCTGTTATGTTGGAATGGCCCATGGATTTCTCAGCCCTCTGATTTTTTTTTCCAGTGGGAAAAATCAGGCCCAGAGAGGCAAACTGTCCTGTGCAACAAGAACCTGTTTTCCATTCAAGGACTTCACATTGGGTGCTGCCCCCTAAGGGCTAGGTGAGGAAAGCCAACAGCACAGACCAGCTGTAGGAGAAGGGTTCTCTTGAAAACCTGAGATGAGACATGGCCTTTCTCCATCCTGAGAAAGCTTTTCCTAAATAGAATTGCCCTATTTACGAGTTAAAATTTGGGATATCCAGTTAAATTTGAATTTCAGAAAAACAACATGTATTGGAACAAATATGTCCAAACACTGCAACTCTATCCAGCAACTCAACCCCCAGTACCCAGATATGGGAGAAGAGGAGGACACTGACCCTTTGTCATTTCCTTTGGGGTGCTCAGGCAACACCAGCATAATTAGACCCTTCCCTGTTCTCCTGATTTGGTTTGAGTTTATAGAGCACTAGGAGCAACTTGGGGAAGGCACAGTAGTACATATAAAATATAGATTACAAAACACCTATCCCAAACCACTTGAATTTCTAAGAGAATGAGACAGAGACTTGTCATACTGCACAATCTGCCTCTAAGAAAGACACCAAGTAGGTGATATTCATTACATATTTCTTGAATGAATGGATGAGTGAATCAATGAGCCAGGTCAGGCCAGAGTGGGACATCAGGAACACTGACCTCCAAGAGATAGCACTCTTATTTTGAACAAATACCTTCTTTTCTCTTCCAGCAGAGGACTGAGCCATCTTCAGAGCTCAGCAGAATTCCCTCCTTCTCTAAAAGCCAAACAAGCTCCTCAATGTCAAGAGCCTGGTTCATTCATCAAGGATACTAAGGACTTAGCCCAAAAGGAGGCACAAAACAAGAACCAACTAAAAGCTGAATGAATGAATGATCTGACCACAGACTCTCAGGAGTCCAGGAGACTAGCAGTTACATGGGATTTGGACAATAACTAGAATCCATTTGTTAATTCAAATTAAACATGCTGAGCTTCCTAAAGTCCAAGCAGGAAACAGATTCATATATCCTTCCATTCTTTTTCTTCAAAAGTGCACCATCCTACCCCTAGAAAACATCTGAGAGAGATCAATCACTTTCACCAGTAAGAGCAGTCTCATTCTGAAATGATTTATATTTTAGCTATTGCAAAGCAATTTCAGTCCAAATCAAAACTCCAATCTCATATGCAATTTAAAGCATCAATTCTTCTTCCAGATCATGCCTACCCTGTGGTTTGAGGGCTTGCAGTGAAGAAGGGAACTATGAGCTGTCCTGCTCTTCCTTCACTTCTTCCCTTATCTAGGACAAAGCCAGAGAGATTAATAACTAGAGAAGGCTGGAAAGGTCTTCAGTGTTTGTCAGGCTTTCAATCTGCTCCTGAAGGGGTATGTCTGTGAGTCCTTGGGAAGTGCTCCACACAAGGCTTCATACCATGCAGTCGTCTGGTATGGGCAATACTCCCTGCATAGCGTCATGTGTCTCCCTGTTTTCTGATTCTTGTCCCACTGATCCATTCCAACCTTCTTTCTGCCAGAATCCCCTTACCTCTTGGGTAAGATCCCATCGATATATGACTTATACCTGATGATTACAACCCGTGGTTCCACTTGCCAATGCTTGCCACACCAAATACACCCTGCCATCCCAGGTAGTGCCAAGTTACCATTCTGACATGAGCACAAGCTGTGAGACATGAGTTCCAGACTTCGTTTCATATCAATCTCCCAGGTCCAGTTTCCCCCACCTTCCTCTTCCCTATGTCTGCACCAAAATGGGTCCACGGGGCTCTGCATCTCATCAGGTCACCACCAGAAGTGAAAGGCCACATGGGGGGGGATGATGAAAGGAACCATAGAGGCCCCCACTAAGCTGAGCTCTCCTTTACCAATGACTTCCCCAAAATGATCGCAAATATATTGACTTCTCATAAAGACTGGAGGTCAGAGAAAGAGTCTATGACCATTGAGTTGGCTCTAATATTTTCTAGTAAGACTGGCTTGGTCATGTCTTGAACTTTCTTTTTGAAGGGGAAAAAAAACACCTTGTCCATTCTAGTACCTCTC